ACAATTAATTTAATTTTCTACAAAGATTCTTGAAATCTCACGTGAAACTTAAATATTTTATTAATTTAAATTATAAAAAGAGAGTTAATTTTAATGGTGAGCCATTAGAACTCATCTTTAATATACAAGTCAGATCTTCCTACATGCGAAATCTTATTGATTTATATAGTATAAAACCACACTAAATGCCTACAGAGATTTTTAAATCTCACATGACAAATAAATAATCAAAATATTTGTATTTACAATTGGTACATAATATTAATTTCGCATTCAAAGGAACAGATAAAGAAACTATTTTGACACTTCACCCTTTCTTTTGACTTAAGGATGTATTTTTCGAGGTTTTTTTTTTCATATTGGCTTAATGCTCAGATATGGCTTTCAAAAGGAAATAATGAGAGTCGTGGTTATAACATTTGACAATTAGAATAAACAGAATTCATATATCATCACTATCATTAATCACCCAATTTATTTTCTATGGAAATCAAAATCAAGTTATGTCTTAAAATTATTTATGAATAAACAATAGTCTCATATTAGGCATATGCATGCTCTTAATTTTTTCAAAATAATATAGTCATTTGAATGAATGAAGCAAGCATATGAAATTTTTAAAAGAATTATAAAATTTTAAATAAGAAAAAGTTAAATTAAAGCTATAATCAAGTTGTGTTGGTAAAAGATGACTATAAAAAATAGAATAAAATAGTACCTGATATCGCACATTCGATCCCACTCTTCTTGTACTCAACATATAGATATTTTGGAAACTAATTAATGCACGTTTTTGTACCTTAATCAGATTCTTCAAAAGCTCGTCATCTTGCTTAGGCCACAGATCATAGACAAAGAGAAGCGTTCATGGTGGTTCAGTACAGCATCTTCCCTGCGTCAAACCAGTCTCTGTTTCTCATTTTCTCGGTCTTTCTCTCTTGCTCCATATCCCTTTTCTGTCCCTCTCTTGTCTGTCTCTCTTTCTTCTTCTTTTTCTACTCTAGAACTTCCTCTCCTTCTCTCTTTTGTTCTCCATCTCCTTCTCTCTCTCGTTCTCTGTCTCTCTTTCTTATTCTTTTTTTCTGCTCGTCCTTGGCCCCTGTTCGGACTTCCTCCAATTCTCTGTCTTGTTTTTTTCCTCCTCCGTGTTCTATTTTTTTCTTCCTTTCTCTATCTCGGATCAGTGCTCTCTCCCTCATTCTCGGTCTCTCTTCTCTTCTCTCAGTTTCTTCTCCCTTTTGGTGCTCTGCTTTTTTGTTTTTGTGTTCTGTTTTCCTAGTCCATTCTCAGTCTCTCCTTCTTGATTTTCCTGCTCTATTCTGACGTGCATTTTGGATCAGTGCTCTCTTCTCTTCGTCTTGCCTTCTCTGTCTCTCCCTCCCTTCTCTAGCTTCTCCTCTTCTCTCCTTTTTCTACTGTCCTCTCATGTGTGTGTCTCTCCCTCTGTTTTTCTTTACTTCTTTGTACATGCATGCATTTCTTTTTCAGAGGTAAAGCTTCATTCTCTGTCTGTTGCATGCATGCATGGCTGAAAGTTCCTTTTTTCTGTGTCTTTCTCTGTGTGTTTTCATGTTTTTGTTTCTGCTTTTTTTCGCTCGTGTGTCTGACTGCATTTCTATCTATGGTCTGCTTTTGCTGTTCTCTCTTTTTCTGCTGTGTGGCTGAAGCTTGGGGCTATGGTTTCTTTTCCTTCTGCTCTTTGCTTCTGGCTTTTCTTTCATCTAGCTGTGTGTTCGCGTGTTCTCTGCTTTCTTTCTGCGTCTGATTCTGGTGTTCTTCTACATTTTCTTTTTACCTGTGTGGCCGTGTGTGTCTTTGCTTCCTTCGCTCGTCTGGCATTTCTATAATGAAGGACCATAACTGATGGTTAAACGCTGGAAAACCAGCGTTTAACCTTCAGTTTACATATGTGTGTGCGCACGCGTGTGTGTGTATTTTTAACCACAATTTTTTTAGTTGTTTATTTTTTTTATTTTTTTTTAAAAATAATCCTTAAAGGATTGAATTTTCTTTTTTATATATTTATTATATTTTTAGTTGTTTTAATAAGCTAAAAAAATAAAATTATAATCGACAGATTATAATATTAAGCCCTATTAATTAAAGTGTTTTTTTAGTTTGAAAATATAATCCTAAAAAGTATTAAATTCTATTTTTGTATTTTTATTTTTTTAGTTAAATTCATTATTATTTTTATTAAATTTAAAAATACCCAAACAAAATACAGTGTTCAAAGCATTACACTAAGAATATCCAGATTCCTAAGCCTCCGGAGCTTTTTTCCTCTCCATACCTAACCTATCAAATGTTAAAAAAGAAGGATGAATCTAGCCACTGAGTAACTAAGGCACACCTACCTTATGCAATTGTATATCAATTGAAAAAAAAAAAAAACACATGGGCATGAAATAGATTTTCTTAAAAATATGCATTAACATATAATTTACAACTTATAATTTCTTAATTAACTCATTTTCCTCTCAAACACAAAGGTACATTGTCACAAGGCACTTGGACATGTGATCATGACTCAATATATTAACATGACTTGCCACAATTTAACCATATGACACGTCACATAATCACATATGCATGATCAAACCATCCTTATACCCTCCTTATTTCCTCTGACTGAAATTGTGGGTTATAACACTAAATAAGGCTCCGTTTGTGTGATTAAACTACCCAAGCTCACCAATTGGAAGCTATGACCCAGCCAAAGATCACACAAGTCACTCTCAAACCACAATTTTCCTACTCTCGAATCTCTGAGGTGTCGTTTACCCTAGGCTAATCTCCTCAATAAACTAGTAGAGATAACTAGGTTATAATCCCTCAACAAATTCTGGGACAGTCCCTTAATAAACTATGGGATAAGGCTATAGAAGGCAACTAAAAATACCCTATGGATTTTAACTACTCCTCCCTAGAAGAACTCCCTCCCACTGATCATGCCACATAAGATGCTCACTTATTTAGACAAAATTTTTCATTTTCAACAACATATTAGGCTCACAATCATACACCATCCAAGTGGGCATCAAATCTCATTTTTCACATATATCTATCATTTTCAACCTTGACACATTCATCTTTATTATACCCATCATCAACTACTCATTTCAATATCACAATGCAACTTCAAAATTCATTTCGCAATCACTTTTGTATCTTTAGTTTATATCAAAGCAATTATACAATCAAATGTTTTCATAGCATGTTACAAATATTCACAAATCACAATTTTATATGCTAAATACACATTTCACATTACTTCTCAATTAATAAACAACTACCTAAAGAAGGGTTCCTTCGGTTACATCAAACTTTTGAAAAGTCAAAGGTTAATCCCTCAATATTTTAGCTTTCAAGCTTAATTTCCCAAGCCAAAACGGTGCCCAAATACTTTATCTATAGTTAACAAATTCTAAACTTCATCAACAATGTCAAACACACATTTTCAACTCTCATTTTCCACTTCTAAATTATCCAATGCCCATATTTTTCACGTTTGGACTTACTCATTGGGTTTATGAACTCTCATTAGCATTATTTGACTTCATTAAATACCCAAATTGCTATTAATGCCTCAACCACTTCCATAATTTTGAATTTAATGTCCATTTTTGGATATTAATGACACTTACTAACCTAAAGTGTCATAACCCATTATTTATAGGTTTAAATACTCCAATTAACTTCCATTAATTTTATTTGAGTCAATGAGTTCAAACTTATAATCTATATAGATCAAAAATTATTATCCCAACTTAAACCCTAACTCTAATCCCTATTAAAGTGAAAGAGAGAATGAGTAATGGAGTATAGAATACTTACCTTCCGTAATTACTGGCTCAAAAATGTCCCAAATACCCTCCAAATGTGAACCCTAGTAGAGTTTCCCTCTGGTTCTTTGTTTTCTTCCTTTTCTCTTCTCTGATTTGCAGTCTGTTCACAATTAGTTTATCAGAGTTTTTAGTCGTGCATCGCGACATATGGCAGAGAGAGGTCCTCCTACTTTTGTTGCCATCTGTGCACTGCAACAAACATGCTGCACGCCACGGCATGTGACACAAAGACATTTCCTCCATGGTTTCTCCTTCTTTCAATGCCCAGGTCACCCGGACCCAAAACTAGGGTTGAAAACACAACTGAATACAATTGTTAAACTTCCTTGACCACACACCACATTAAAACATTCAATTATTACAATTAAACTTGATTAATTTTGTAGTAATTCAGGGATTAAATTTTGGGATATTACATCGTGCGCTGCAACTCAAGCAATGGTAGCTGCGGCCTGTGGCATGATAAGGAAAATCATCACCAAATGCACATGCTTCATTCCAAAACGCGATCCTTTCATCCGTATATGCTCATCCAACATTTCAAAAAATCAAAATATCAACTTGTCATCCAAAATCCTAATCACTCATTAGTTACTAATTTACCCGTAATTAATAATTAGCTTCAGAATTAAGAAATTATGATGTCATACATTATGTATAAGATATAAGATAATATGGAGAAAGTGTTTGCTATAAGTTATTTTTTAGGTAAAGATTTTCCTACAAAATTGATACTTATTTAAAAAATACTGTTATATATGATTTGTGCATGGCATGAATACATTACTAGTCTTTTTTTTAAAAAAAAAAGAAGAAGAAGAAGTGAAATGGCTCAAGGTGGCCTCTCAAATTATTCTTTGTCATTCTAAATTCATTTTTTTTAACCCCTAATCTAGGGTTCAATAATAGAATGGCTTAATATAAATAATGTTATTGTAAAATTATACTCACCCTTTTCACCTCCTCTCACTATTTCTCTCTTTTTCACCTAATGTTAAAAGACATAATTATATCTTATTTAAATATGTTAATTCTATAATAATTTTTTAATAAGTATTAAATAAAATCATTTATTTACCTTATAAGATTTATAGAATGTCCCATCCCATTCCATTAACGAATGTTCATTTACCATTCTATCATATACACTCAGGTATATCTTGGTCCCGGAACAAAATGAGGCGTCTCCTGCCGATCCAGTTAGAACATCGAACGATAGATCGAGGCCCATACTGAAAAACTGAAATCTCCAACCCCAAGCTATTCAACAGAGCTTGCTTAGAGCGTTTATCTGCAACCACAAGCATCCCTAGTAATGAGACGATAATACAGAACGCTAGCTTGATAATTTTTGTAGCTTTTGGCAAAACGGTCGTCTCCTTTCGGCCGAAGCCCCATCCGGATCCGCGTCCGTATCCGTGAAGCAATTTGCGGCGACCAACGCATCTCCCATAAACCCTAAAAATGGTCGGCACCGCCCTCACTGGACAATGAAGCGCGCGTGGAGACTCTCCGACGCAGCCCAAGCAGAGTTGTTCTGCTTTCACAGAACTTCTGCTAAACCAAAGCCCCTTAACACCTTCCCTATCTTCGTCCTAAGCTCTGCGAATTACGTATGCACCCCCCAAGTCAATACCCACACTCGACCCTCTGAGCATTCCGTGTTACGAGAGATGGTTGGTTTATTCTGCCGCAAGCCCTATTTCCATAATTGGGTTGCCAGAGAGGATTTTAAAAGGGCAGTTGAGAAATTGGGGTGCGAATTAGTTCGGGTAGCCGACGACCCTGATGCAGTTCTTAATGTTTTGGAGAAGAATTCGCACTCTTGGTTTTGGAGTTGCCCTGGTGGGAATGCCTTTGTTGATCTTATGGATCTATTGGAATCATGGCCTCACTTGTCTCTAATGGTAAATTTAATAGATGCAATTGATCCAATTTCATGCATAATTTGATGGGTAGAATTATTGTTTATCTCACTATTTACTTCATCTATATCTCTTGACAGTCTGGACACTTACCTGGAGTATTGTGTAGCATTTGTATAAGAAATACGTGTTTTCACTTGCATATTCGTGAATGAATGCTCTTAGCATATCTGGACACTCGAGAAGCTATAAGTTCTGAGTGGTACAGTAGGGCTATTTGACCATGATATGAGGCCTTGTTCTGTTCTTGTTACATGTTTTCAGTTCTGCCCACTAAAATTATTTAGACCCGCCAAATTGGCTTGGATGTTTGGTGAGGTGTTGTATGGTTTTTTAGTATGTTGGGACATTTCAAGTTTGTGATAATTGATAACTGACAACTGTCTCATAATGGTGTTTTTTAAACCTAATGCAAATGAAAATTTAAAATTCTTCTGCTGACTTTTTCTCTTGTTTATCCTTCTTAACGTTCAGGTTTTAAATTGGAGAAGAAAAAGTTCTCTTTCTGGCGCCCCCATGGCTCCTGAAGAGTATTCGAAGGGTATCAAAGTTGCTGGTAGATCTAAAAATATTGATCTTGCAGTTGACCTGTTTAATGAAGCTGCAGACAAGAAAATGAAAACAACAGCTATTTATAATTCGTTGATGGCTGCTTATATGTTCAACGGTCTTCCTGGGAAATGCCGGTCATTATTTCAGCGGATGAAGAGGGGTGAAACTTGTAGCCCTAACATAATAACTTACAATATTCTTATTTCTGTTTTTGGTCGCTTGATGCTAATAGATCGTATGGAAGCAATATTTGATGAGATAAATAATTCAGGCCTTTCCCCGAATATAAGCACTTATAATTATTTGATTGCTGGGTATGTTACAGCTTGGAAATGGGATAGAATGGAGCAAACTTTTCAAATGCTGAAGTCAAGCCCTTTTATACCTGACATTGATACATACCTGCTGATGCTGCGTGGATATGCTAATTCGGGTAATCTGAAGAAGATGGAAGAGACATATCAGTTAGTGAGGGATCATGTAAATGAGAATGGAATTCCTTTGATCAGGGGCATGATATGTGCATATTGTAAAAGTTCTGAGCCTGATAGAGTTAAGAAGATAGAGGAATTACTGAAGTTCATTCCGGAAAAGGAGTACAGGCCATGGTTAAATGTGTTGTTAATTAGGCTTTATGCACAAGAGGACTCCTTAGAGGAAATGGAGAACTCAATTAATGATGCATTTGAGCACAAAGTCTTAGTAAAAACATCTGGTATAATGCGATGCATCATTGCGACTTATTTTAGGAAAAATTTAGTGGACAGGTTAGAAAATTTTTTGAGGCGTGCTGAATGTTCCAACTGGAAAATTTGCCGCTCCTTATACCATTGTAAGATGGTCATGTATGGATCACAAAAGCGCTTTGAGGAAATGGAAAGTGTCCTGAATGAGATGGAAAGTGTCAATTTGGGTTCGACAAAGAAAACATTGTGGATTTTGTATAATGCTTATGTACGCTGTGACCATAGATCCAAGGTTGGGAAAATATTGGGACTTCTGTGCAAGCGTGGATTTGATTTTCCGGTGAGTGCAGTCCCATTGTAAAATACATTGTTGGGAGCATTATTTGTGACCCACAGATGGCTGATTAACTGCGTAATGAATATCTTCACATTGGTCTGCGATGCGGGACATCAATACGTAGCCCCATGCAGTATGTTTCATGATGGGAATACATTCAAAGGATTTTCATGCCAATGCTTGAGAAAAGTTCCTCGATGTTTGTAATGAACAACCATCTCTATGGCATGGGGTCTTGAACAGTTTATATGTATGCATCTTCTCTCGAAGGGTGTCACTTGCATGCTGTTATGAAGGAGCTGCATTTCTTGTGCCACTGCAGTGGAAAGAACTCATCTTTAAACACCTAACTTTTTTTTTTTTTTAATAAAGACTTTGGAGCATGATGCTATGGAGATCAGACAGCTTTGTTTTCTGCCTTAAAAGAAGTCTTATCTCCCATCTAGATGTACTTCTATCTTTCATTTTTTTTTTTCATTTGAAAAACTAGTTGGTAATCTGAATGTGTATGGCTATGCAGCCCCCCCCCCCCCACAAATGGTGGTTTGATTTGATGACATCAATTATTGCAGAAGGTGCTGTATATGTGCAGTCTTTAGCAGATAAAGGCACCACAAGTGTAATAACTGCTTGTTGCCTGCACCCTGCAGAATCCAAAATCGGCTCCACGTTCCACCTAGGCTGATAACGCTTGTCTGCCAATAATTCAATGTTCATGATCACTACAATTGGATGAAAGAGTGCAGATGTTGCTTAGATTCAGAGACTATGAACAGCTTCGAGTTGTGGAACTTTTCAAGAGCACGGATGATTTTTACTAGGTAAACTACATTTGGAACGGCCATGATTTGGACCGTAATGATACTGGATAGCATTTTGGCATCTTTGTAATGGTACCTGTATGAGAGTTGATAATCTGTGAATCAAACCAGAAAGCATGTTAAGCAGCAGTCCAGCTTTTGAGCTGACATCACTAACTTTTCCTGAGGGGGTATATATATGTATGAGCATCCGTAACTGGCAAGAGTTAAATTTGAGTAGTCTGGAGTTGTATAACTGCCCCCCTTTGTTCAGTATGGGACCTTGGAGTGGTTAATTTCTAGGTGCTTTATATTTTTTTCCCCCCTGATGGCAGGTATCAATATTCATGTTAGGAAGGGCATTTCTACACATTTTTCTTGAATTTGTTTTTAAGAACATGGATTTGATTACTTACATTTGTACTGTAATTCTAAGTGTTTTAAATTTGGAATCTAAGGCTTTTAAAATATAACATGCTTATTGTGCTGCACAATCTCAAGGTGGTGTGGTTTTTGCAGTCAATTTCTGGATGTAGGTATACATTTTCTGTTTATTCAAATTTATTCTTTTCATGTTCTTGTTCCAAGCCTGTGACTACGAACCTCAATACTTGCATTATTCTATCACTTGGCTATTGACCGAGTGTTCTTGAGAAATATTGACTTATTAATTATTGATAAATAAATCATCTGTTGGTGGATTTTCAATTCTAAAAGCTTGATTTTTTGCAGGAAAATTTTAAATACCCCTATTATTTCAATTTCTTACTGCTTTGGCCTTGAAATTTATTTGAACAAGTGAGCAATACAAATGTGTTTACTTTTAGAGTCTGACTAATCAATCTAAGCTTGAGCAAGAGTTGGTGAATTCCCGTTCTAAGAATATTCTGCATTCTTGTTAGTCATTGATATTTAAATTTTCTACTTTTATTATGGCGATACTACTATTGTCGTCCAAGGTAATGTCAATGACCTAAACACCATGTTATCCACTCAATTCATATTTCAGTGCTTGTTATCTTCTATTAGTAGACATGCATGAAAATTAAAGGGGTAATTGATGATGATTACTGTATGTCTAATTTTTAGAATTTCCAGTATGAAACTTTTATTTTATGCAATAATTTGCAAGCACTGACTTTATTTTGAAATTTGAAATTGAATATTTATTGCAACAGTTCTCCAATTATTTGAATTGGTGGTCCTCCTCCTCCATTCTTTTCTTATTGCTTCTAAAATGAATCAAAGGAAACAAAATACCATCTAAAAATACCGGGAGAGGTTTTATATATAAAAAAAATCTTGAAAATATGAAATTTCATTGTATTCTCTTTGTACCTATTTGAAAATAAAATTTTATAAGAAAAAACTTAATTACCCCTAAAATCAATAAAGTTTAATAATTTGATGGATTGTTATTAATTATATATAATTAGTTGTCAAAACCTAAGTGGATGATTGTCTTTGAAGGACCAACACTTATATAATTATACATGCATTATCAATTATAGTCGCTTGTTGATTTCGAATTGGTGATTGTTAATTACTTATGGTTACTTATCAAATCTGAACATATGTTTGTTTATATAGGACTAACATATATATAATTAAATTTATCTGTTATATTCACATATTAATTTCAAATGGATTTTTGTTACATAAAGTTACTTTCAAAACCCGAATATATGTTTGTTTATATAGGACTAACACTTGTGCAATTGAATTTGTGCCATTAGTTTTTGTAGCTTGTTTATTTTCAAATGGATTGTTGTTAACTATGTTGGGTAATTTGTCAAAACTCAAGTGAATACTTGTTCATATATTCACAAAATCTTAGGGTTAATTAAGTCTTCTCTCACATAATTTTATTTTCATATTGGTACTTAGGGGTGCAATGAAATTTCATACTTTTAAGGTTATTCTTTGATGTAAAGCTCTGCCGGAGGTCCCTAAATGATATCTTTCCATGAATCAATGTCTCCATGCTCTTTCAGCCTAAAAGTTCATGGATTTTCGCGGTACCACAACCTTAAGCAATGGATATTATTCTCGATCACATTGACTGCTATAATTTGCATTGGGAAAGGGCGCATAGCACGGTTGTTTACTTATCAATGCCAAAAAGAAAACAGAAATGAAGTTTGTACGGCCAATAGCTGCTTTCTTATCTCGCTTAAATCATGATGTTATTTTGATCATCTCAAAGTTAACCATGAAAAATAAGTTTCATGTTTGTATTTAATGCTTTGGTTTCTAATTTGATCAAATGATCTGAATCTTAGGTGGTGGCAGTTATATAGCTTACAAGTAACACTATATTTGGTTTCTTAGTATACTCTATATGTTGGAGTCAAATGGCCTGTTCGGAAATGGCAATTTTTGCACCATGATTTGCGGGGAGTTTTATTAAGAGTGGATAATTTTGTAACTCAATCCTTGAATGAGCTTTTTTACTTTGATCAGTTTTGTAGTTGTCTTTTTTTTTTGGGTAAAGAAATATTTAGGTAAGTTGAGTCCCAATAACTTATTAAGTCAGGGCATGTCTTTAAGCTCAAAGAGCGCTTATAAATATACTAATGGATTGCCTAACAATAAGGCCTTCACTTCAATAGCAAGATTTAATTGAATGATGTTGTAAGTTATAGACTAAATCTTTACCCAATGGACAACTTTGTTGGTGTAATTGCCTTTTTGTCCTAATTAGATTTACACTGAGATAATTTTCTCGCATGTTTTCAAATTTTTTTTTTTTTTTGCAGAGATTGTCAAAGGGCATGGCAAGCTGATTCTTCATGTTTTTAAAAATTGGGTTGAACTATGAAAAATGATTCAAAATCTACAATGGTTCAATTTTGACAATTATGTGGTATGAAATTAAGCAACTAAAAAATAAAGATATTGGGACATGAAAATGAGAGAATTTTTTTTAGATTATTGTGTACTTTAATACAAATTACATATTCTATTTATAAGCATGGTTTTACACATTGAATGTTACATAAATGATAAAGACATATAAAGGGTAGCCAACTCTCATGATGGTGGGAGTTTTATGTGAGGGTAATCAACTCTCATAATGGTAGAAGTTTCATAAATGAAAATGAAGAAGTGAGAAAAATGGATATCCATTATCCTTTTAATATTCATAATAGTTTGAGGTTATTAAAAATAAAAAAATTAATTATTTAATCTCTGTAATTGAGTCTATTATTTTAATTTTTAAATTTTAATTCATTATAACTCAACCCTTAGTTTTGAACTTAATTCCTAAACTTTAACTCAATGCAGCTTAGTCCTTATAGTTTTAACTATTTAAAATATGAGTCCTTATATTTCAAAAAATAAAATTATAAAGAATAAAGTTATTTTGAAATTTAAGAACTAATGTTTCAAATTATTAAAACTATAGGTATTGAGTTGTAATGAGTTAAAGTTGAGGGACTAAGTTACATTTGAATCAAAACTATAGAAACTAAATTATATCAAATTGAAGTTGAGTGTCTAAGTTATAATCAAATTAAAACTAAAAGGGCCAAATAATTTTTTTTCTTTAAAATTTCTTAAGCATTTGCTCATGTTGTTAAATATTTCATAGATATATAAATCCAACTCTAAAGAAACTTGAAAATTTAGCACTTCAATTCTCAAATAAAGAATACTGCCATTTTATTTTACAAGCTATTCCATATTGATGAAATAATCAAACTTTTTACGCATGTGGTGCCAAGTGTTATGACAAAGGACATCTGGATGAGACTGATGTAGATGATTTGGTGGTTACTCTTGTCAAGTGTGCTGAAAGGATATGTGCTGATTATCTCCACTCATTGTTGCATGCTCCTTCTCAACTCATACTATTTTAAATGCAGAAAATGAACCTTACTCCTTCCGATCCTTACACTACTACATAAATAAAAATTAATAGCATGCCTTTTACAGTAATAACAAACAAAACATCATTAATATTAAATTCAAAGACATTTGGTGACATTTCTTTTATCAAATGTACCGCTTATAATTACTCTTTTTATTTACAATTTTAGAAAATAATAATAGGTGACGTTTTTTAAAAGAAATGCCATAGCTTCTAGTTAAATAACATTATTAGTGGCATTTCAATAATAAAAGTCACCTATCTAATTTGTTATTAATTAACTATATTTTTTTATTAGATCATATAATAATTTTAATATAATTATTTAATTATCATTAATAATAAATATATTCTTAATTAATTAATTAAAATTGGAGAGGTGGCATTTTCAATGTTATAAAACACCACCTCTATACTATTGTTGTATATTTCAAATTAAAATTTTTATTACAATTTATTAAATTTGAGAAATAATAAACATATATTATTAATTTAGAAAACTCAAAAGCAAAGATGTGGTGCTTGAAGACAAGGGAAACAGCACCTCTCTATCTGGTTATGGAATTATAATTATATTTTTTAAAATATTATTAATTTTGAATAAATAATTAATATATATTATTATTTGTTAATAAAAACAAGAGAAGTGGCATTTCCATAGCTTGAAAACATTACCTATTTGTATTTAAATTTTCAAAATTATTTATTATTATTATTATTTTATGTTTAATATGAATTCTTCTAAGAAATTAATTTATAATTAAATTGTCATATTATTAAATAAATTTATTTCATTATATTTAATAAATATTTTATTATAATTTAGTAAACTTGTATTTATCATTAATAGACATTATTACTTTGGCATTTCTAGAACATGGGAACGTCACCTCTTTATTTTTTATTGCTTATAAATTACATTAATAAATTAAACAGAATATTTATTATTATTATTTAATTTTTATTATTAATTATATTTTTAGTTGATAAATTCTATAACATTAGATAATTATTATGATATAATTTATTTAATCATTAATTATCATTTCATTAGATATTTAATTATTTTAATATCAATTAATAAATTAATTTTTTAAAATGTAAATTTTTTTAATAAAAAGAAGAGAGGATTTTACTATTTTAAATAGTTATTATATTTTATAAATTTACATATTTTTTAATTAATGTATTTATTATAATTAATAATTAGGTTATAAATATATATTTTAATTTGAAAATAATACAGGTGGCATTTCAAGCATAAGGAAATGTCATCTCTGGAGTTTATGATAATTTTATTTTTTAAAAATTAATTTATTTTTCTAATTTTATTAATTATAATAAATAATTAAAAATTATTTAATCTGTATTAATTATTATTATATAAATAATAATTTATCTATATTTTAATTAATTAATTAAATTAATTAGTATCATAGGATTAGATAATTAACCTAATATAATTTTAAATAAATACTAATAAAATGTTATTTTTTTCATTTATTAATGTAAAATTTAATTAGCATAAAATGTAGTACTTATTTAGTTCATAAGTTGCTAAATATATGATTATGTTTAGCTTAAAACAAGTCTATGAAG